TCATGGAAAGGGTAATTCTTTGTTGTTTTACTTCATTATGTTAAAGAAAAACGTAACAGAGAAAAGAAATAAAAATATCTCATACAACAGAAACAAAAATACATGGCGACAAAGAACACAACAAATTCAACACTAAACAGAAAACAACACTACCAGTATAAACCATAAAGAATCCAATAAAGAGGTACTACAAAAAATCCCAAGCAAAACAGCAAGTAATAAAAACAAAAATTAAAATCAGAACGAATGCCCAATAAACATACAATAACGAAGAATACTGGGCATGTTCGTGCCTATAAGCAAAAATGAAATTTTGTCTAACAATTACTGTTTTTTTCTATTCAACGTAGATAATAATAACAGTGCAGCACAAAGCCCATAAAGAACTAGCAAACAATAAGCAAATAAACAGATATTAACAACTAGCCCAATTTACCCAGTAAACACAGAAATATACACCAATTATAGGCGTAAGTCCATATGTGTACATATATATATATATGCAATTATAAATATAAATTCATCTGTTATTATCATTTCTTTTTCCCACTTCAAAAAGCATTTCATCATCATTATCACAGTGCAAGCACAGGCACACACGGAGAGAGTCTCCAAGAACACACACACACACACACAATGGAGTAGCAATAATAATAATTATAGGATAAACACAGAGAGTAAAAAAACACACATTAACATTAAGAAACATAAAGCAAAAAAAGATAACCCCAACAGGTGGAAGATTAGTTAGACTGTAGGGATACATCCAAAAAGGAAAAAAAGAAAACAAAGGATGACCTGAGTCACCATGAACACACAATCAGCACACAAGAATACAGGCCAGTGTAACCACAATCAGTAGTGGTACACGCACCCACACAGAACTGTTGATACTGCTGCTGCTGTCTGCATCACCCTTCTTGTTGTTTGTAAACTCAGGAGGAAGTGTTGTTGTTGTTGTTGTGGTGGTGGTGGTGGTTGTATCTGTGTTACCTGCCACTCCTTCAGTTTGGTTATTTGTTGATTCACTCTCTTCAGATGTAGTGCCACTCACAGTGTTTGTATTTTCAGAACTATCCGTACTCACTTTCTCTGAAGTGTTTGAAGGCGTTTGTGTTGCGTCACCGTCTTGTTGTGTTGAATTGCCACCTGCGACACTGTTGCTGTTGGTCTCAGGTTGAGCTGCACTTGTGGACGCAGCAACACTCTCATCAGAAGGTACAGGAGAAGATGGAGCAGCCGGTTCAGCAATAGTAGGAGGAGGAAGTTCAGAAGGATCAGTATCAGAAGAGGGACGATCAACGCCATCTTCCTTTGTTCTACCGGAAGAATCAGCACTGTCGGACTTCCGCTCACCATGAGTACCTTGAGGACCATGTCCATCAGGGTGATCATTTCTTGTTTGAGTGTTAACCTGTTGGGTTGCTTGACAAGTTTTACCAGAATCAGCAGTGCAAGTGTCTTCAGTTTGGTGCTCACGGTTAGCGCAACCTTCCTGCTGAGGATGTGTCTCACAATTAGTAGGAGAGGCTGTAGTAGCAACACCGCTACCAGTAGTACACGGAGTGTCAGTAGTACAATCAGCACCAGAAGGTACTTGTGGGGGGTGACCAGGAAGAGGATGAGATGAAGCAGCTGCTGGTTCTTCTTCAGTTGGACAAGATCCTTGAGGTTTAGTAGGGCATTCCGAAGCAGCAGCTTCAAGTGGAAGTTTCTCAGCAGGTTTCACTTCGCCTCCCACGCACAGAGAAGCAACACTCAGCATAAAAACCAACAAACACACAACGGGTCGCATCATCATGTCAAGAATGATTCTTGGTTGTTTTACGTCACTTTGTTAAAGAAAAATAGAACAGTGAGAAAAAGTAATAAAGATCCCATACAATAGAAACAAAAACAAATAGTGGTAAAACAGAACACAACAAAAACAACAGTCACACAATACAACACTACCAAAACAAACAATAAGGCATCCAATAAAGAAGCACCACAAAAATCCCAAGAAAAGAAGTATATAAAAAGAAATTAAAAGCACAACGAATGCCCAACAAACACACAATAACAAAGAAGAATGGGTATGCTGGTGTTTATAAGCAATAATGAAATTATGTGTAACAATTACTGTTTTTTTTTCTTTTCTCTATTCAAACTAGATTATCATAGCAGTGCAGCACAAAGCACACAAAGCACAAGCAAACAATAAACAAAGAAACAGACATTAACCATTAGCCCAATTTAACCAGTAAACACAGAAATACACCAACTATGGGTGTAAGTCTATGTATACGCAATTATAAATATAAATATGTATCTGTTATTATTATTTCCTTTTTTCCTCTCACTGCAAAAAGGCAGTTCATCATCATCATTACAGTGCAAGCCCACAGGCACACACAGTGAGAGTCTCCAAGAACACACACACACACAATGGAGTAGCAATAATAATAATTATAGGATAAACACAGAGAGAGCAAAAACACACACAAAAGACATTAACATTAAGAAACAAAAAAAGAAAAGAAAATCCCAACAGGTGGAAGATTAGTTAGACTGTAGGGATTGCATGCAAAAAAGAGAAAAGAAAACAAAGGATGACCTGAGTCACACCACCACACCATTACAATCAGCACACAAGAATAAAGGACAGTGTAACCACAATCAGTAGTGATACACGCACCCACACAGAACTGCTGATACTGCTGCTGCTGTCTGCATCACCCTTCTTGTTGTTTGTGAGTTCAGGAGGAAGTGTTGTTGTTGTTGTTGTGGTAGTGGTGGTTGATTCTTTATTTCCTCCCGAATTTTGGTTGTTTGATGATCCACTCTCTGTAGGTGTGGTGTCATTTCCAGTCGTTGTGGTTTCAGATGCTCCATCACTTTGTGACTCTGTACTGCTGGAAGAAGAAGTTGACGTGACGATATCACCCTTGTTATCTGTACTTTCATTGGATGCATTGTTGTCGTTGTTTCCTGGTCCACCGTTAACTGCAGGCGTAGCAATATCCACAGCAGCAGGTGCAGGAGCAGCAGGTTTAACACCAGCACCCTTTTCACCGTGCGGATTCTGTGCAGCGTGTGGATCAACATCAGAACCAATATCTGATCCATTGTTAACACGACTACCAGGAACAGCAGAAGCAGAAGGGCCCGAAGTTGCACTAGAACCTGGCTTTGGCGGTGAACCAGTAGAAAGTTGTGGTGAAGAGTGATTAGCAGGATCGGAACCATTAGCGGGAGGTTCTTGAGTTAACCTTTCATTTTCAGCAGCAAGAGGGCCTTTGGCAGTTTCAGTAGGAGGTGCAGGTAGACCTTGTGCACCTGCTTTGCCAGCAGGACCAGGAGGACCAGAAGGTCCAACAGGTCCAGCATGACCAGCAGCACCTTGTTCGCCTCTTTCACCTTTAGCAGATTTATTACACTTAGGGCCATCAGACTGACTACCATCAGGAGGGCAAGTATTATCATCACCAACCTCAACTGAAGAATCTTCAGAAGTATCAGCCGCCACACATAAAGAGATAATGCTCAAAAGTAACGCCACAACATACAACACACGGTGAAGAAACATCACGGCAGCAGATCTTTTCCTTATTTAGGGTATCTGAGCTGCACAAGAAAAAAAAGAAAAAGAGAACAAAACAAACATAAAATAATCACAAACACATTCCCCGACGGTAACAGAGAGCACAAAAACAAAAACAACAGTCATACAAAATAACACCATAAGCAAAAATATCAACAGACACCACAAAAAGAGCACCGAATCAAAAACTAAGAAATTTTTTTTTTAAAGAATACCCACAGCATCATCAAAGACACAATTCAGAAAAATATGGGTACACTTCAGTTAATGCGCATTTTGAAATATAAACATGTATAAGTTATTATTCATTCCTTCTACACGAAGAATAGCGCAAAAACAGTGTGCAGGCCAAAACACACAAGATGCACCTCAGCAAAATCATCAAGCAAACAAAGAAAAAGGTTATTAACCATTAGCCCAATTTACCAAGTAAACACAGAGAAATACACCAACTATGGGTGTAAGTCTATATGTGTATATACGCAATTATAAATATAAATTCATCTGTTATTATTATTTCTTTTTTCCCACTATAAAAAGCAATTCATCATCATCACAGTGCAAGCCCAGGTGCACACACAGAGAGAGTCTACAAGAACACACACACACACACACAATGGAGTAGCAATAATAATTATTATAGGATAAACACAGAGAGAGCAAAAACAAACACAAAACACACATTAACATTAAGAAAAAACAAAAAAAGAAGAGAAATCCCCAACAGGTGGAAGATTAGATAGACTGTAAGAATTCAAAAAAGAAAACAAAACAAAGGATGACCTGAGTCACACCACTACCAACATCACTCAATCAGCATACAACAAGAATACAGGCCAGTGTAACCACAATCAGTAGTGGTACACGTACCCACACAGAACTGCTGATACTGCTGCTGCTGTCTGCATCACCCTTCTTGTTGTTTGTGAGTTCAGGAGGAAGTGTTGTTGTTGTTGTTGTTGTATCTGTATTTGCTGCAACTTCTTCTTGGTTATTTTTTGACTCAGTTCCTTCAGATGTATTTCCATTCTCAGTCAATGCAGCATTATCACCAACTTCACTTCCTGTAGCCGAATTGGTAGGAGAGACAGCAGTAGAAGGTTGTGTTGCTTTATTTCCCTGGTTAGAAGTAGTTTCTCCTGTTGGACTGCTGCCGCTGTTTCCACTGTGGCCGTCCGATGCAGTCCCAACACTCCCACTAGGAGAAGAACCAACACCAGAAGTGGTACCAGCTCCAGGAGCAGCAGCTGTTGGATTATCCAGTGTAGAAGGAGAAGCACCACCAACACCAGTTCCTGGACCTTTTCCTCCTTGAGTACCGTGACTTTGGTCCTCAGAATGTTCAGCTTCACCTTCTACGGCGGGAGTAACAGTACCAGGCACACCAACTTCACCTCGCGGACCAGCATCGCTAACTCCATTACCATGACCGTTTCTTTCGCCTTGAGAAGGGGTCTGCTCAAGGTGACTTTCACGTACTTCAGGAGGAACAACCGGTACTTTTTTCTCAGGAACAACTTCTTTTGGAGCCTCAGGTACTTTGGGAGGAACTTCTGTTTTTTTTTGACATGTATTATCATCAAGACGTTCAGTACCTGGAGGGCAATTGCCATCACCAGTAACAACAAGAATCTTTGTCTCACTCTCCGTATCAGGGACTTGGTCGGAAAGATCGGCGGCAGGCACTTCTTCAGCGAGGACGTGCACACACGCACATGAGAGCAGGAGAGCGAGGATACACAGCACGTAGCGCATCATTACCATTANTTTTCTGGCGTTGTTGTTTTTGTGGTCTCTGTGTTCTCTTGATCAGGTGACCCTGTTTGTGATTGAGAGTCGTGGTGGGGTAGGGGCTTCCTACCGCCTTCCTGTGTAGAATCGGTGACTTGATCTGGAGAAGAATCACGTGTTTTGGTTTGACTCGTTAACTGTGGTTGTTCCCTTTTGGTAGATTCCAGTTGTCCCTGTCGTTGCATTTCCTCCGCAACGTTGACAACGTGAGATTGAAGTTGATGTTGGGAACTTTGTATTTGTGGAAGTTGTCTGTGCACCTCACCATGATCACCTGAAAGGGCACCAGCAGTACCAGAAGTGCAAATGCCGCCAGTAGCGCTAGTAGAAGCAGCAGCAGTAGCAGAACAAGTAGAAGAATCACCCTTAGACCCTGCAGAACCTCTTTCACCTACAGACCTTTGATGACCAGTGTCACCTACAGGACCATCAACAGGTGTCTTCGGTCCAGGTGGAACCTGTTCCTTTGCTGTATGTTCAGTACACTGAGGTTGAGTACCGGCAGAACCAGAAGAATCAGGAGGACAAGATTTTTCAGCACTCTCAGTAGGGCAACCAGCACTACTAGCAGCATCAGCACCACCGGGACAAGGACCAGGAGAACCTGGAGAACCAGGAGAAAGATCACCCGAAGGTGTTAGTGGATTAGGATGAGGAGCAGGGACAGAAATTCCTGCTTTAGTCTCTTCGTTCGCTACACACACACATGTAATGCTAAGAAGCAAAACCAGAAAACAAAAGACACGTCGCAGCAACATGGCAAGACTTACCTTTTCTTTTTTGGCAGATGAACTTGTCAAGGAAATACATAACAAGGGGAAAAAAGTCATCGTAGACAAATCGTCACAGAAAGAAATACGGCGTAAAAAAACAAAATATGAGTTACCCCACCCACACCACAAAAAAAAAGACAACAATCATTACGAAGAATAAAGATTCCAATAAAGAGACACCACAAAAATCCCAAGAAAAGAAGTAAAGAAAAAGAAATTAAAAGCACAACGAATGCCCCCAAAACATACAATAACAAAGAAGAATGGGTATGCTGGTGTTTATAAGCAATAATAAAATTATATGTAACAATAACTGTTTTTTTTCTTTTCTCTATTCATACTAGATTATCATAGCAGTGCAGCACAAAGCACACAAAGCACTAGCAACCATAAGCAAAAAAACAGTTATCAACCATTAGCCCAATTTACCCAGTAAACACAGAAATACACCAACTATGGGTATAAGTCTTTATATGTATATACGCAATTATAAATATAAATTCATCTGTTATTATTAATATTTATTTTTTTCCCTCACTGCAAAAAAGCAGTTCATCATTATTATCACAGTGCAAGCCCAGGTGCAGACACAGAGAATCTCCAAGAACACACAAACACACACAATGGAGTAGCAATAATAATAATTATAGGATAAACACAGAGAGCAAAAACACACACAAAACACAATATCATTAAGAAACGAAAAAAAAGAAGAAAATCCCAACAGGTGGAAGATTAGTTAAAGTGTAGGGATGTATGCAAAAAAAGAAAAAGAAAACAAAGGATGATCTGAGTCACATCACACCATCACACCACACAATCAGCACAGAAGAATAGAGGCCAGTGTAACCACAATCAGTAGTGGTACACGCACCCACACAGAACTGCTGATACTGCTGGTGCTGTCTGCATCACCCTTCTTGTTGTTTGTGAGTTCAGGAGGAAGTGTTGTTGTTGTTGTNAAAAAAAAAAAAACACAAGATGAAAACAGACACCGAATCAAATAACACTCAACAATTACAGCAGAAGCACACACACATGAAAAAAAGGTGCAATCATAACTCAGATAGTGCCCAAATAAAAGGAACAAAACACACAATACCCAATAACAAACAGATAATCCCAATTAACCACTCAAAAGAAAAAAAAAGAAAAACGTTAAGAGAGTGACCATCAGAAGCAGGCATAGCAATAAAATCAAACTCCCTCTCCTTGTAGGACCAAGCACAATTACAAATATACTTTTGTATTCTTTATTATTTTTTCTCTCCCCACAAAATACTCCAATACACAACAATGCAGGAGAAAGCACACAGAGTGCCCAAGCAAAAAAAAATGAACAAAAACACAAATTAAAAAGAGGACCAACCGCACAAAAATAACTCACAGCCCACTGGGTATGCTGGTGTGTTCAAGCACATAAGAATACAAATTGTATTAACTACTATTTGTTCCTTTTCTCTTATAAAACAGATTACCAAAAACCGTGCAGGGCAAAGCACACAATGACCCAGCAAACGACTAGCAAAAAAGAAAGATATTAACCATTAGCCCAATTTACCAGTAAACACAAGAAATACACCAACTATGGGTGTACGTCTATATATGTGTATATACGCAATTATAAATATAAATTCATCTGTTATTATTATTTCTTTTCGTTCTCACTGTAAAACGGAATTCATTATCATTAGAGTGCAAGCCCAGGTGCACACACAGAGAAAGAGTCTCCAAGAACACACACACACAATGGAGTAGTAGCAATAATAATAATTATAGGATAAACATAGAGAGTAAAAACACACACAAAACACATTAACATTAAGAAACAAAAAAAAGAAGAATAAAATCCCAACAGGTGAAGAGATTAGTTAGACTGTAGGGATGCATGCAAAAAAGAAAAGAAAACAAAGGATGACCTGAGTCACACCACCACCATCACTACAATCAGCACACAAGAATACAGGCCAGTGTAACCACAATCAGTAGTGGCATACGCACCCACACAGAACTGCTGATACTGTTGCTGCTGTCTGCATCACCCTTCTTGTTGTTTGTGAGTTCAGGAGGAAGTGTTGTTGTTGTTGTGGTGGTGGTAGTGGTTGAAGGGGTTGTTTCTGTATTATCTGCAACACCTTCTTGATTACTTGTTAATTCACTCTCTGCAGGTGTAGTGCCATTCCCAGGTGTTGCATTATCTGAACCATCACCACTCACTGTGGCCGAAGTGTTAGGAGAGTCAGCAGAAGGTTGTGGCTCCGCAGATCCATTGTTATCTCCATTTTCACTCTCACGTGTTGTATTGTTGCCCTTGCCTCCAGTTTGGCCATCATCTGAAGACTCAACAACACTCCCCTCAGAAGGGTTAGGATCAGGAGTGAGAGCAGAAGTAGAAGATTCAGGAGTAACAGTGGTAACAGGAGGAATTCCTTTATTGACTTCCTGATTTTCTTCAGTACGACCAGACACGTTGCTCCCTTCACCACTTTGGCCAGAAGGACCCTGCTTTCCTGGTTCACCAGAAGATTGTCGTTGTGAAGAGTGAGCAGCAGGACTGGAACCACTAGTCGGATTTTGCTGATTTACCCTAGTATCCTGAGAATCATTGGTGTCTTCACCAGTAACTCCATCAGGGCCAGAAGGACCAACAGGTCCAGCATCACCTGCTTTGCCAGGTGGACCAGAGTCACCTTTACCATTTCCAGGACACTTAGACGTATCGGTTTGACTATTATCAGTAGTGCAACCACCATCAACAACTTCACCTGAAGACAGTTCAGCAGCATCAGCCGCCACACATAAAGAGATAATGCTCAAGAGCAACGCCACCACATACAACACACGGTGAAGAAACATCAAGGCAGCAATTCGTTTCCTTATTTACGGTATCTGAGCCGTACAAAAAAAAAGCAGAGAACAAAAAGAGAATACAATAACCACAAGCACATACACTGATGGAGACAAAGAAAAAACAACGAAAGCAAAAGTTGTACAGAACAACACCAGTAGCAAAAATATCAATAGGCACCACAAACAAAGTAACCCAATAAAAAAAAACATTTTAAAGAATACCCACAGCATCATCAAAGACACAATTCAGAAAAATATGGGTACACTTCAGTTAGTGCGCACTTAGAAATATAAATATGTATCAGTTATTATTCATTCCTTCCACACGAAGAATAGCGCAAAAACAGTGTGCAGGCCAAAACACACAACAACCCAAGCAAACCATAAGCAAACAAACAAATATTAACCATTAGCCCAATTTACCCAGTTAACATAGAAATATACACCAACTATGGGTGTAAGTCTATATGTGTGTATATACGCAATTATAAATATAAATTCATCTGTTATTATTTTATCTTTTCCTCATTGCAAAAAGGCAGTTCATCATCATCAACACAGTGCAAGCCCAGGTGCACACAGAGAGAGTCTCCAAGAAAACACACACACAATGGAGTAGCAATAATAATAATAATTATAGGATAAACACAGAGAGAGCAAAAACACAATAACATTAAGAAAAAAAAGAAAAGATAATCCAAACAGGTAAAAGATTAGTTAGACTGTGGGGATGTATGCAAAAAAAAAAAAGAAAACAAAGGATGACCCGAGTCACACCATCACCACCATTACAATCAGCATACAAGAATACAGGCCAGTGTAACCACAATCAGTAGTGGCACACGCACCCACACAGAACTGCTGATACTGCTGCTGCTGTCTGCATCACCCTTCTTGTTATTTGTGAGTTCAGGAGGAAGTGTTGTTGTTGTTGTTGTTGTTGTGGTGGTGGTTGTAGCTGTATTTACCGCATCACCTTCAGTTTGGTTACTTGTTGATTCACCCACTTCAGATGTATTGCCGTTCTCTTTTGTTTCAGAACCATCCGTACTCTCTTTGTCTGAAGTGTTTGAAGGCGTTTGTGTTGCGTCACCGTCCGCTTTAGTTGAATTGCCACCTGCGACACTGTTGCTGTTGGTTTCAGGTGGAGATGCACTTGCAGACGCACCAACACTCTCATCAGAAGGTACAGGAGCAGTAGGTTCAACAACAGTAAGAGGAAGTTCAGAAGAATGAGTATCAGAAGATGGACGATCAGCAGCAGATTCACGTGTTTTACCGGTAGAATCAGCACTGTCGGGAATACGTTCACCAGGAGGACCTTGTCCATCAGGGTGATCTTCACTTGCTTGAGTGAGAGTCTGTTGGGGTGCTTGACAAGTTTTACCAGAATCAGCAGGGCAAGTGTCTTCAGTTTGGTGCTCAAGGTTAGCGCAACCTTCCTTCTTAGGAGGGTTTTCACATTCAGTAGAAGTAGTTCCAGGTGCAACTCCGCTACTAGTAGTACACGGATGGCCACTAGTACAATCAGCACCACCAGAAGGTACTTGTGGTTGTTGAACAGGAAGAGAAGTAGTTGGAGGTGCTCCTGCTGGTTTTACTTCTTTTAGACACTCCCCTTGTGGTTTAGTAGGGCATTCCGAAGCAGCTGTTTCATGCGTATGTTCCTCACCAGGCTGACCCTTAGCTTCCATGCATACAGAGGCAACACTCAGCAGAAAAACCAGCAAACACACAACGGGTCGCATCATCATGGAAAGGGTAATTCTTTGTTGTTTTACTTCATTATGTTAAAGAAAAACGTAACAGAGAAAAGAAATAAAAACATCTCATTCAACAGAAACAAAAATACATGGCGACAAAGAACACAAGAAATTCAACACTAAACACAAAATAAGACAACTAGTACAAACCATAAAGAATCCAATAAAGAGGTACTACAAAAAATCCCAAGCAAAACAGCAAGTAATAAAAAGAAATTCAAAGCACAACGAAATGCCCAATAAACACACAATATCGAAGAAGACTGGGTGTGCTGTTGCTTATAAGCAATAATGAAATTATGTCTAACAATTACTGTTTTTTTTCTCTATTCAAAGTAGATCACTATAACAGTGCAGGAAACAGCACAAAAAGAACTGGCAAACCATAAACAAAGAAACATATTAACCATTAGCCCAATTTAACCAGTAAACACAGAAATACACACCAACTATGGGTGTAAGTCTATATGTGTGTATATACGCAATTATAAATATAAATTCATCTGTTATTATTATTTCTTTTTTCTCACTGCAAAAAACGTTTATCATTATTATCACAGTGCAAGCCCAGGTGCACACAGAGAGTCTCCAATAACACACACACACGCACACACACACAATGGAGTAGCAATAATAATAATTATAGGATAAACATAGAGAGCAAAAAACCCAGTAACATTAACAAACAAAAAAAGAAGAGAAATCCCAACAGGTGGAAAATTAGTTAGACTGTAGTGTGGATGTATGCAAAAAAAAAAGAAAAGAAAACAAAGGATGACCTGAGTCACACCACCACCACAACACACACAATCAGCACACAAGAACATTGGCCAGTGTAACCACAATCAGTAGTGATACACGCATCCACACAGAACTGCTGATACTGCTGCTGCTGTCTGCATCACCCTTCTTGTTGTTTGTGAGTTCAGGAGGAAGTGTTGT